ATCCGAAGAAAATATATATGGGAGTTATATCTAAATCTAAAACGATTTTCACGAAAATTCTGTACGCTATGCCAAAATTCATGCAAATCGAAGGATTTGCAGGGACTTTGGTGCACCATTTACCTAAAATCGGGCGAAACTATATATGGGGGCTATATATCAATCTGGACCGATTTTCACGAAACTTAGCGCACATCATTCTAGACTTAATTCAGTAGGTTATACCAAAATTCGTGCAGTTTGGTGCACCAAATACCTTCCTGACTGGTAACTGACGATTGTTTTATAGTAGTTATTGAATTTATCGCAGTTATCTGTAATAATGACACATAATTAGACAAATACCAATTATGTACATCACAATATCTGTCACCTGCATCTGCCACCTTCACATTATAGTTATTTTTTAAGAAAATTAAAGGCGTATCTAAATTATTGTGTTAATCTATTTATAATTAAAATACAAATTATTCAATTCAATGTGTTTTTTATAATCCAAATATGTTTTTTATAATCCACCACAGTGTGGTGAAAAGTATAAAGTGTGTTCTTGTGCATATGTATGTTTGTAACAGCAAAAAGGAATTAAGATAAGCACATGGTTCATTTTAAAACCAGTAAGGAAAGTAGTAAAGTCGGACGGGGCCGACTATATGATACCCAGGACTATTATCATGAAATTGCATGAAATAAAATATGTGATATTTATCTAAATGTGAAACGACCTAGATCTATCCATAAACATGTCATTCGTTTGTTACAGTAAACAAAAGTATGTAAATCGACTTCAAACAAATATCAATAGTTCATCCGTTGAGCTAGGTCTGTACTTCTAGAAAACCCAACTACGTTATTCTATGCTCAATTTTGTACGTTGTGCAAAATTTGATGTCAATCTATTAAATATTATGAGTTTGATGCCCAATTTACTTATATATGGATGCTATATTCAAATTTGAACCGATTTCAACGAAACTTGTCACACGTTAGGTTATACTAATTTCAGTACGTTTTGTTCCTATCAGCCATATATTGGTTCCTTGGTGCGTCAATTACTTAAAATCAATCTATAATATAAGGAGCTATATCTAAATCTCAACAGATTTTCACTAAACTTGGCACACATTATTCTGGATTAAATTCAAAACGCTATGCAACATAAGAACTTGGTACATTATTTAGATTAAATCGGACTAAAATATATATATCTTGATCTGAATCGATTTTCACGACACTCGGCACACATCATTCCAGCATCAATTCACAACGCCTGCAAAATTGTGCAAATCGAAGCATACATGTGGTGCACCATTTAAATCGGACGAAAATATATATGGGAGCTATATCTAAGTCTTGGCTGATTTTCACGAAACTTGGCACACATCATTCTGGATTAAATTCAAAACGCTATGCAACATATGAACTTCGTACATTATTTAGATTAAATCGGACGAAAATATATATATCTAGATCTGAATTGATTTTCTCGAAACTCAGCACACATCATTCCAGTAGTACGTTAAGTACGAAAGATATATGGGACTTTGGTGCACCATTTACATGAAATCGGACGAAACTATATATGGGAGCTATATCTAAGTCTGCACCAATTTTCATGAAACTTGGCAGACATCATTCTATGCTCAATTCAGTACGTTGTGCCAAATTTCGTGCAAATCAATTGATATATAGGGACTTTGGTGCACTACTTACATGAAATCGGACGAAACTATATATGGGAGCTATATCTAAATCTGGACCGATTTTCACGAATTTTCATATTCTCAAAAGGAACCATGGGTCTATCTCGTTTCCTTTTGCCTGTTACAAACATATGCACAAATACATAATACTTTTTACCACAGGGTATAAATATGCATAGAATCATGGACTCCATTTATGCATGCTCGTCACTATTTTTATGATGATCTGATTTGGATGAAATTTTGGACAGGTCACTTATTTGGCCGAAAGACGAATCCTATTGAAATTGGTGAAATCAGTCTAGATTTACATATAGTTCGTCCGATTTTATGTAAATGGTGCAACAAATTCCCAATATTGGTACAATTAAGTAAAAATTTCGCACTGAGTACAGAATTAGGTCCAGATTGGTGTATGCAAAGTTTTGTTGGAATCGGTTCATATTTAGATATAGCTCCCATATGTAGTTTCACCACACTGTGGTACAGGGTATTATGTCTTTGTGCATATATTGGTAACAGGCAAAAATAATCGAGATAGACCCATGGTTCCTTTTGAAAATAAGCATAGAAACACTTTCGATTTATGCATGTCCGTCCGTCCGTCTGTCCATGTTAAATTGTAAACAAAGTACAGGTCGCATTTGTGATCCGAATTGGATGAAATTTGGCACAGCTCATTTGTTTGGCCCAAGGACGAACCCTATTGAAATTATGAAAAATCGTTCCAGATTTAGATATAGCTCCCATATATATTTTCGTCCGATTTTATGTAAATGGTGTACCAAAGTCCCGATATATCTTTCGATTTGCACGAAATTTGACATAGCGTACATAATTAAGTCTAGAACGATGTGTTCTAAATTTCGTGAAAATCGGTTCAGAATTAGATATAGCTCCCATATATAATTTCGCCCGATCTAAGGTAAATGGTGTACCAAAGTCCCTATATATCTTTCGATTTGCATGAAATTTGGTATAGCCTACTGAATTAGGTCTAGAATGATGTGTGCTAAGTTTCCTGAAAATCGGTTCAGATTTAGATATAGCTCCCATATATAGTTTCGCCCGATTTTAGGTAAATGGCGCACCAGAGTCCTGAAAGTCATTTGATTTGCACGAATTGTGGTATAGCGTATTGAATTACGTCTAAAATGACGTGTGCTAAGTTTCGAGAAAATCGGTTCAGATATAGATATAGCTTACATATAGTTTCGTCCAATTTGAGTAAATGACATGAATTTTGGTGTAGCGTACTAAATTAAGTCTAGAATGATGTCTGCTAAGTTTTGTGAAAATCGGTTTAGATTTAGATATAGCTTCCATACATAGTTTCGTCCGATTATAAGTAAATGGTGCTCCAAAGTTTCTGAAAATCATTCGATTTGCACGAATTTTGGCATAGCCTCCTGTATATATTTTCGTCCGATTTTAAGTAAATTGTGCACTAAAGATCTACAGCTAGGCCGATTGACACAACGTATTGAAATTAGTATAAATTAATCTCTGGCAAGTTTGCTTCAAATCGGTTCAGATATAGATATCTCGTAGATTCCATATATAATTTCCATTTATTTATTGAGATTAAATTTTAAACAGTGCAGCATACGAAATAGCGTGTGTCAAGTTTGCTTTAAGGGGATCAAAACCCCCAAATACTGAAAATTAAGAGGTACCGCTATATGGGGGCTACCAGAAAAAATGGTCGTATATTTATAATTTTTTGTGGAGATACCTCAATGTACCAAATTTCAGCGTATTCGGTTGAAAAACGCGGTAAAGAATTAAAGATCGGTTAATATTTAGAGGATGAAATGGACCAAATACTTAATTTTTGTCTCCAGAGGCCACAATTATGGCCCAAACATTGCGAATTTTAACGTGGAGAAAAGGGATCACGCCAAAGAATAAGCATGCCTGTTTTCATAAAGATCGGTCAATATTTAGTGGGTCAAATGGCCCCTGACTTTTGTGTGAAATATAACAAAATTTGTATTCTATAGCGTATATATTTACCCCTGACCTAGACCCGAGAAGTTGATAGTATATTCGAGAGAAATGTTTGACCTTTAAATTTATATCAATTATATTGTCGTATGTACTCGGATGTGGGAGTTACACTTAAATATTTACAGGCGATTACGTATTAATATATTAGTTAGTATCCCAGGTATGGTCAAGGACAACGCCTACAATTTTCGGTGACCATCAGATAATAATTTTCGGATGAAGTGGACTGAAAACTTACTTTTTTCTGTTTCTTTAGTCGATATATAGGTCACAATTGAAAGCCGAACACCACAACACAACCCACGGTGAAGGGAATCTGTTGACCTCTAGTCGGTCAAGTGGGTGCAAATATCGGGAAATACAAAATACACAAAGTTAGATTTTCGTAAATGTTGTGTAGGATATCATATGGTCGGCGCCGTCCGATTATACTGCTCCGCTCACTGGTTCAATATATGATTGAGTGAAAAAATGTGTACAGTACCAATTTGTGTAAACAGTCCAAATTATTTAAATGGATTCGTATGATCGAGTGGTATCGTATAAACCACTTTTGATTATTGTAAAAAAGAAACCGAACAATAAGTAGAAGTGATTTCTTCCTCGATATTGCATTTGCTTTTCTTTACATTGGACTTTTATTTTTCTGAAAAAAGGACACTGTATCCCCTGAATGCAAAGATGTAGCCACGTCAAATTTTGCTCATATCCTATTTATGATAGTTGCATTTGATATGTGCACAGAATATAGTTCTATATTGACGCAAAAAATTCGGAGCTCAAGGGGTTAAAAACCTAGATAAGAATGTTATATTATCATACACATTTTTTTTTTGTGGAAAATGGGTAGCAAATACAACCGACGGAAACCATAGTACTGCTTTTGTTATTCAGTGCAACTCTATCTGATATTTCTATCTTTGTCATTTTCATAACAACAAATTGCGAATTGTCAACTACTACAGAAAAGTGGTTTGTGAACTTAGTAAACAGAGGTATACATATTCACCATTGGATAATATTTATCTGCGGTTTGTATATTTACTAACATGGTCCATTCTAATCCAAAATCAAGAGGCAATTTGTATGGGTGCTACTGCTCAAAAATCGATTATGTACATTTCATGAAAATCCGTTCAGTAATTTAGGAGTCTATAGCTAACACCGATCAAACAATCAAAATTTAATTTTTATTTATATATAGATGTTCGTTTATTCACAATCAATCATTTAATCATTAGTCAACAATGTCACAGCGATCAAGAAGAAACTTAAAAAACAAAAAACAATGGTCCTAAATTAGCATTAACTATAACAAACTAATGAATTTAGACGCGACGGAAGATGGAGCTGGGCAAGTATGATTTCTCTGGCACTTGGGCGGGGGAAGTTCGCACGTCAACAGTAGTCTGAGAAGCGAAGTTAAGAACGGGAGCAACACCACCGTTGACACTGAGGGAGCGACCGCCCAAGAATTCGTATTGGCTTTGGATGGCACGTTGGGCATTGGCGGCATCTTCAGGGGTGCGATATTTGACGAAGTGGACTTGGGGTTTCTGGTTATTGCCTGAGTTGATGGTGTTAAGTTTGTTGGCCAAGCTGTTGAGGTCGGCTTGTTTGTTGAGGACATAGATGGCGGTTTCTTGTTGGGCAGCTTGTTTGGCCAAAGCCAAGGCAGCATTTTCCAAACCATTGTTTTCGGGGCCCTTGATGAAGATGACACGGAGACCTTGTTTCAAGCTACCGGCAACGCGTTGAGCAGCATCGGCATCAACAAATTCAGCTTCAGGAGCGGTGAAAGTGTAGAACTCCTTTTCCAATTCGGCGGGGGCAGTGTAGGTGGTACCAGCATTAACTCCACCTTTAATGTTAAGAATATCACCGCCGCTCACTACACCACCAACCAAGTTACCACCGCCAACAGTTCCTGTTTGGGTAAGCTCGCGCAAGTTTGTAATATCATCGCCAGGGTAAAAGTAGTCACCGCCGCTGACTACACCAGGTTTGAATGATAATCCTGAAGTGGAGTGGTCAACAGGTTTATAGTTGTAGCCCAATTTATCGGCACAGGCAACAGCCACCAAACACAAGACAATAAAAGCACGCATTTTGTTTTCGGTTTTTTTTACTTTTGGAACTTTGACTTTTTCTAGATTAGATCACTTGAAGATGTGACTCGAGAATGATGATGTTTATGTCCCGATCAAAGCTTCTTATATATGTGACACAATAGAATAAATTATGTTGTATCGTCTAAGATTACAAACGACGGTCAATGTCAAACAGGCAATATTATTCTAATCTAGAAGTTTTAGTTATTGATTGGTCCAAAATGTTGATGTTGTTTGACACTGTTGAATGGGATTTTTTCAGTGTGTGTGTCTGTGCGAACTCGCTTTGTTACAAACATGAACTATATTTCTTACTATGTTTGTTTTACCAACAATGTGGCACGCGATCATCGTCCCCATTCAGCCATCGACGGCAACAACAACTCGCGAAGAACTTGATCTGTGTGAGAAGTTGTCAACAACAAAAACGTTTTATGCAAATTATTGCCAGGGCGCAGTGATTTGGGGAATGCGACGGAATAGGCCGTGTTTTGTGGAATGTCACGTATATCGTGAAATAGATTATAATATTGAATATTAATGAATTATGTTAACAGGTTTATGATTTTGTTAATGACATCTTATTTATTTCCATTTATCGTAAATTATCACAACAATGGCAATGCTGAGAACTCCCATTGCCATCAAAAGAAAACGAGTTAAATGGATGAAAATGTGGCTGGCTGCTGTTTTATTACCTAAAATCAGTTTTTATTTTATGCGGGTCAAACTGGGCAGAATATGTGTAGGGAAATAAAGTTTTTTATTGATTACAAATAATGCTTGACATTATAAACAATAAGTATATACCAGTGAGTGGAGCAGTATAGTCGGACGGGGCCGACCATACGATACCCTACACAACTACCACGGAAATCTAACTTTCTGCGCAATTTTATTCCAAGCCTGGGCAATATTTCGTGATAGTTTCACCATCTTGGCCGATTACAGGTCAACAGCACCTCTTCCTTACACTGACATATTTTCGGAACACCGTGGGTTGTGTTGTGATGTTCGGCTTATAATAGTGGCCAAAAAAAAAAAAAAAAAATAATAATATAAATAAATAAATAAAAATAAAAAATCTATATATGTATAAATGAATTGCTGTTCGTTAGTCTCGCTAAAACTCGAGAACGGCTGAACGGATTTTTCTTATCTTAGTCTTGAAATAATCGTGGAGCTTCAGGAAAGGTTTAAAAGGTGAGAAATAATCGAAAACCGCGAAAAAAATTGCAAAAAATATTATGAAGCATTGTCAATTTTTTTGAAATTTTCAAAGTATGTACATATTTTATTTTTTTCAATTGGATTGTCATTGTATTGAAAATATTTTAGGTGAGAATACAAAAAAAAAAAAAATAATAATAATAATTCAGAAGGATATCATTGAATGTACACGCGATCATTGTATGCACACGTTTCACGAATTTATTGGGGCAATGCAAGAATTGAAAATCAGAAGACATTCGGAATCGAGATTGTGTCCATTCAGAGAATTCTAATTCTAATATCCATCCAGCCAATGAAATATTGCAGCAACTATAATGTGAAATTTTGGTAGGAAGATTTGACACCACATAAGAAAATGCCGAACAAAGGGGAATAACATATATGGGGGCTATCTGAAAACTTGGACCAATATTGATAATTTTTGCTAAGAGAAGCTCCCAAAATGCCGAATATTGCAGGTACCGTTGACCAAACCTCCGAACGCATCGAATAATGTGGAGTATCATTGTATGGGGTCTATTCGGAAGCTTTCGTGAATATTGATAGGTACATTTTCAACAAAATATAAAATTACTGCGAAATACGAATTCAATTAGAAGGTAAAACCATAAAGGAAAGAAGTAAAGTCAGACGGGGCCAACTATACGATACCCTTCACTACTTTGGATATATTCTACATATGTCTCCTAACAGACGTCACCTTTTCGAAAGAACACTTTCATGAAATTGAAAGAACTTGAATATGTGGTCTTTATGCGTTTCTGGAACCTATGCTAAATTTCATTTCATTCGGGAAAGTTTAGAGTCGTTTGAGTACAATGGGACTAATTTAAGTAAATCGATGTAGAGCAAACTTGATACACGCTATTTGGTTGGCCGCACTCTTCAAAATTTAATCTCAATCTGACACCCGTTTGAAATATATATGGAAGCATCTGCGCTAATTTTAACAACACGTAATAACGTCATTCAAGAGTCAATTTGATACGTAGTGCAAAATTTCGTGTCGAGCTATATCTAAATATGAAACGATTTCAACGTAACTTGCCAGAAATTAATGTATATTAACTTCAGTACATTGTACAAAATTTTGTGTCAATCGTACAAACTTTGGGTCTTTATAGCAGCTATATACAAATCTGAACCGATTTTCACGAAACTTTGCACATATAATTCTAGAAGTTCAGTACGCTATGACATATTTCATTCAAATCGAAAAATATATAGGGGTTTTGGTGCATCGTAAAATCGGACAAAACTATATATGGCAAGTATATCTAAATTTGAACCGATTTTCACGAAACTTAGTGCATCATAATTCTAGACTCAGTTCACTATGCTATGACATTATTCAAATTTATTGCGTGTGTGCTATAGCTTCCAATGTAACGATCAAAATCGGTATATGGCGAAATATATCTCTTACCCAGAAAAATTGTTTATGCAAGTATGAATAAAAAAAGCAAAAAAAAAAAAACAAATCTGAAATACTGAAAATTATTTCTTAGCAATATTGTTAAGGCAAGACAACGTTTAAAACGTTTAAAAGATGAGAAAAATTTGAAAATCGTGAAAAATTTGCAAAAAAATATTTTGAAGCATATTTGCATTTCCACGAATTTATTATCGAGCTATTTTTATTGCACCACGTCGTAGTTGTTATTTTGACATATTTTGAGCGAAAATTGGTAGCGTATCATTCCTTTAAGCTTTCATTTGTCAATTATTGAAAATTTTGAAAATATTTTTTTTTTCAATTGTATTGACATTGTACTGAAAATTTTTTTGTAAGAATTTTAAAAATAATTGAGAAGTATCATTGAAAGTACACATTTTCCATAGAATGCCCGTACATTTGGGACAAATGCAAGGGTGAAAGTCAGAAGACATGCGGAATAGAGATCTGATTCTAAGATCCATGCCCAAGATTATTTTCTTTAAATAATAATATTAGTTCAATAATAGTTCAAATGTTGCTATGCTATGCGGGAAATCAGGTGGCACATATATCCGATACTAATAATGTGTATCACAGAGAAAACTAATATACCACTCATAACTCAAAAAAGTGATTTTCAAATTAATAACGATTGTTCGCTATAAAATACCTCAAGTTGTGTAAAAAATCATATGAATATTAAGTTCATATAAAAAAGTGATGTTCGTATTGAACCTGTGGATATAAAATTACAAATACCTCAATACGTCAGGAGATCTAATAACATGTAAAAATTTGTTAAAATCTAACTTTTTATATCTTCTCATATGTATATTCCTTAAATCTGTCGGGACATTCATATTGGTACAATGTTACAACACTATTAGGAAGTATGATTTGATGATTTTTTACAGTAATGTTCAAAGTTATAGACACTCAGGTTGGAAAAATGGGGAAAGAACTTCAACGTACCGAAAATATAACGGGAAATATGTATGGCATACTCTATGAGAAAATTCGGTCAAAGTCTTCACAATTCCGAAAATGGAGTGGGACCTGTATGGAGGCCTAAATAGAAATGTTACCCCATAAATGTTTGTTACCCTTCAATATCCCGTTATGGTATATTATAGCTACTACAATGAGAATGGATATATATTAATTTTTGGAATGAAGATTCGACACCACATGAGAAAATACCAAACAATGGGGGATACTATTACAGCCACACTGAAACAAACTCCCCAAAATGCCGAATATTTTCAGTACCGTTATATAGGAGCTACCTCAAAGAGTGGACCAATATATACAATTTTAGTGCGATTCATTCAACCAAATAAGAACCAAAAGCCAAATTACAGCCGATTATATCTAAATCTGAACTGATTTTCACCAAATTTAACAAAGATCTTTCCACACTTAATTCAGTGCGCTATGCCAAATTTCGTGCAAATCGAAGGACTTTATTACAGCATCAACAAATGTGGGGTACTATTAGATGGGGATATTTGGTAGCTTGGGCGAATGTAAAATTACACCCAAATACCGAATATTAAGGGATACCGTTATATTCACCACACTGTGGTACAGGGTATTATGTCTTTGTGCATATGTTTGTAAAAGGCAAAAGGATACGAGATAGACACATGGTTCCTTTTGAGAATATGCACAGGATCACTTTTTAAGTCGATTTATGCATGTCCATCCGTCCGTCTGTCTGTCTGTCAATGTTAAATTGTAAACAAAGTGAAGGCCGCATTTATGATCCGAATTGGATTAAATTTTGGCATATGCCACTTATTTGGCCCAAGGACGAACCCTATTGAAATTTGGAAATCGGTTCAGATTTAGATATAGCTCCCATATATATATTTGCGTCCGAATTAATGTAAATGGTGTACCAACGTCCCTATATATCTTTCGATTTGCACGAAAGTTAAGTTTCCTGAAAATCGGCTCAGATTTAGATATAGCTCCCATATATATTTTCGCCCGATTTAATGTAAATGGTGTACCAAGGTTCCTATTTATCTTTCGATTTGCACGAAATTTGGCACGGCGTAATAAATTGAGTCTGGAATGATGTGTGTGAAGTTTCCTGAAAATCGGTTCAGATTTAGATATAGCTATACACATATATATTTGCGCCCGATTTAAGGTAACTGGTGTATCGAAGTCCACATATATCTTTCGTACTGAACTTAGTATAACTTAGAAGTTAGATATAAATACTGCACCAAACTCCCCAGGTGAGTCCGGTTGGCAAATTTTGCACAAATTGAATGTTGAAATCCGTTCAGATTTAGATATAGTTCCTATATATAGTTT